GCTAGCTCAGTTGTGTCTACACAAGTGGCAATCACACCCGGTGATTGCAGTATAGTGATACCCTCATAGGAACAAACATGTGTATTGCCAAAGAAAAAGAACGGTTACTTACCTTCTGTAACTGTTGTTCTTCGAGATGTGTTGTTCACGTCCATTACACTTCCCACCCTCCTTCCCCTCTGTCGGAGTCTCCGGCAAGAAGGAACCGGAGGGGTCGGGTCGGCAGGGATATATATAAGGAGGGGGCCCTGCCGGCCCGACGGGAGCTGCTAAGGGAAAAAGTTTCCGATGTCCGTGAACGCGGCGCGCGTACACCTAATGTGTAATGGACGTGAACAACACATCTCGAAGAACAACAGTTACAGAAGGTAAGTAACCGTTCTTTTTCTTTGGCAATACACATGTTTGTTCCTATGAGGGTATCACTATACTGCAATCACCGGGTGTGATTGCCACTTGTGTAGACACACCTGAGCTAGCTTTAATCTAGTTAGCTCAGGGTTTGAAACGCTGAAGCCCAGAGTTCCAGCCATGCTTGTACAGCCAGCATTCTGCAGTAGCTTCACTGCTCTGATACCCAAGCTGGCTAGATTAACTTGCATACCTCTTCTTGAGCAGCAATCAAAACCATCAATTTGCAGTATAGATCTAATCAGAGCATCTGTCTTCATATTAATGTGGGATTGGTGTTCCAGATGAGGTTGCTTTGTTTTCTTCAATTTCATCTTTCCAAAATTTCAGTTCAAGTTTTCATTTTGTTTAGGGTTGATAGAAGTGGAAGGAGTTTTACTGGTGTTCTTTGTGGTTTGGGGTGGAATCAAAGTCTTGGAACCCCACTGCTTCCAGAACATGACATGGAGCTGACATTTGATGTGCAATTTGGCGTGGATGACATAGTAGAGGTAAAACATGCATATGGATTATTTTCATTGCAGTAGTGCATGTCTGGAATCTAGCAGATGTCAGAAATTGTTAGCTCTTGCGATTTTATTACTTGAAGTCTAGCAACCTTTGGCAGAATTTTAGTTGTCTAATTTTTTTAGTGAAATTGCCTGTTTATAACCTTGAACTGATCTTGTGTGTCAGATACTAAGTCTAAAAACCCTAAGGTGGTTTCATTAAACTTTATTGAACAAAGTCAGATATTGAATACAGTACATTATCATCTTTGTAGACAGTTGTATATCATTAAGCCAGTAACTAAGCAAATACAATTCTGTGCTAATCAAACTCCTATGCAAGGTGGGTTTTTTGTTTTTCTGTGTTATATTCAAACCTTTTAATTATTATTTGGTATAAAATAATGCTATTTAAAAATCCACTTAGTCATAAAATATTAGACATTCTTATATAAAATTATATACATAGCTTTTCTCAGATGTCTTTGCTAATGTTGATTATAAAAATGAACGTTCAGTGTTAACCAAACCATTCTAGACAGACAGACATAGGCATGCACACACACACACACACACACACACACACACACACACACACACACACACACACACACACACACACACACTACT